AGAGAGAGAGAGAGAGAGAGAGAGAGAGAGGGACACCAACAACCAAAAATAGCTATAGCAACAGCCCACAAAGGGAAGCGAAGCTGGTCAAACCCAAACACTTCCGGTCTTCCACGCACACTCTCTTTTTATATGTCTCGGTCTTTATCTGTTGCGTGAATCAGCCTTTTAGATTTCCTTTCTCAACTTATGATAGAGAAGATAGAAGCTCATGGCATCATTAGATACATACAAATGACTAAACTAATTGAAACAATAGCTATCCAAATTTTTCATTCAAAGTTTATCTTTGAATCCTCCATAATCCTAATTTAGTTATCATCTTCTTGTCCCAAACTAAGTTTCCTTTGCCACAACTTACTCATGGCAGCTGACTGCTGGTAGGCCAAAGGGACAATTGCTCCATCATATCCTTTGGGGAATCCAAAGATGGAACAGATTGCTTGATCAAGTTGTCTAAAGAATGTTACAACAGTTAGCGGGCATTTTAACTATGAGCTCCATGGAGTAGTCACAGGATCAAGATGATCTCATTAATTCAGTATTGCACTTGATATCTTATGGCATGTACTTAACAGTCATTGGGGCTGAACATTTGTATGAACATTCTGAAAAATGCAATAAAAAAAAAGAGAAAAGAATATGGCTGAAGTCCAACAAATATTGAATTTGGCAGTTTCTTTTGACCAGTTCTCATTCCCTGCTGAAGATTTGAATGAGATGTATGAAGAGCTAATGACCTCAACCAATCAAGAAAGTGTGCCAAGAGTCATTGAAAAAAGACAAGTTGTAGAGTTGCAGCATCTCCTTTTGCCATGATGAGATCACAAAGACATAAAACAAGGCAGGCAAAATTTGGGTGAGTTGGTAAAGGTCATGAAGAGAAATAATTATGGCCAAAAAAGTATAAAATATAATCTCATGAACAAACTCTTACATTTAGGGGCAAAACCAGAAGTCACATAGTTACTGAGTCCTATATTTAACATTGGAGAAACCAGGCATTTAGTTCAATTTAATCATTAAATTTGATAGGTATGCTCTGCTCCCTTTGTCTATTGCCTTTTTTTCTTTGTAGCAGGTGATATATTTTGCTGATCACCAAAAAGATTATTTGGATCCATTAGCCTGTCATAAACATGTCCATGATGCTCTTCATTAAACTAATTATCTCTAGATGCACCAAAAGGATGGAATGAGATCTTTGTCTGTCAGGCCATGAATGTTTCTTTAGGATCATAGCTTGATTTATTTGATCCGGCATTTCCGGTAAGATCCGATCATTTTCTTTAAAGGCAATGGAGATCTTAAAACAAAAGGTTATGTTGGGTGAGGGGCAACAATTACAACACTTTGTTCATGTTAGCTCATGGAATTAGAATTATCATGAGAGGGTGAATTATTCAAGGAAATCATTTCCCTCAAAAATAATGGAAAGAAAGAAGACAATTAAGAAAAATAGACAGATGTTGATACCAAGAAATAAATTATAAAGTTCAGAGACAAGTTTGGCACAAAGGAAAATGAATGATGCAATTTAAACTTACAAGGATTCCTGGTCATAAAGAAGAATGATCTCCACACATGTTAGAAAAGACTCCTCACTGGCCTCCCAAGAAGCATGTCTCTAAATAATAAACATGAACCTATCCAAAGATCAGGCTGCCTATCACAACACTGCAGATAGTTAAGTAGATATTGCAATTATTTCAGGAAAGTGTGTGTGGGAAGAGGAAAACACTGGATTTTAATTTGCAAAATTTTAGAAACTAGCAGAGCTGATTTCATAATTAAATGTGTTAGAGCTCATCTGTGACATGTCATTGAAGTCTTTATGCACATTCCAAGCTTCCACTGTCTTTTAGCTCTGAGTAACAAATCAACAATTACTCTTCTTTGCAAAAGTTAAAATAGAGATATGCTCTGAAAAATAATTACTCATTTCAGATTTCCTTCTGAATTCTGTTACATGTTTATATGATTTAATTGAACTGAGGATCTTTCAGCTCCAGTAAATGTTTCAATTTCTTAAAACGAGATCTGACAGAGCCACATTGTAGGGAAGATGGTCAATGTTTCTTTCTTGTTTGCATTTACACAAAACTCATCCGAGTATTTTGTTAAGATGCATGTTTTATGTTCTTTTCTGAAACTTCAGATTGAGACCTAAATTGTTCTGCAAAATAAGCTGAAAACATAATTTGATGAGACACAAACATTGTGACTTGCGATTCGCCAGAAAAAGTACTCATATGGTACGAGGAACATTAGCTGCATTGGGTGAAACTGCTGAATTTGTTATGGTTTAGCTTCAGCATGAGCAATTAATTTAATAGTTTTATAAATGATATCACGAAAACAAACTCCTTTTCTCCTTTTTTGGAATTCCAACTTCATTGGAACTATTGCCTATCAAGCTAAACTGATTAAAATGAAAAAGGAAGCTACAAAATTTGGAAGTTAGTCTACCATAATATAAATGCAGGCAACATATATAAGTAACTATAGCTAATCAGTAATGGTAGGTTTAGGAAGTTATGGATCAAGTAGACTTTTTGCAGTGTATATATAACAGAGAGTCTTCCAGCCTCGATACAAAGAAATAATGATATAAACATCAATCCAACTAAACCTCCTTTCTCCTTTTTCCAAATTCCGACTTCATCGGAACTATTGCATGTCAAACCAAACTGATAAATAGAAAAGAAAGCTACAAATTTTGGAAGTTAGTCCACCATAAGCCTATAAATGCAGCCAACAAATATAATTAGCTATAGCTAATCAGTATTGGTATAGGTTGAGGAGGTTATGGATCAAGTAAGTTTATTACACTATAAAGAAAAACAAAGTTAGGTAGAGAGTCTTCCAGCCTCAATACAAAGAAATAATGATATAAATTACTAACCTAACCAAAACTTTGCTTTGCTCAATGCTGGTAGGCCATCCAACATTAGGTTGTCAACAATAGCACATATAGCAGCATATTCTTTGCTCAAACAAAAGACAACTGGTGTACAGGTTGAGTGATTCCAATATCTAAGTCACAGAAGACAAGTGTTCCTACTTGACCTACAAAGCGACTCATTGAACAACGAAACATGTGACTATATATCTGATTGGACTCAGATATTTGATGATAAATTTCTTAAGTATATGTTTCAGAAAAAATATAGAATTCATGTATGAACTGAATCTTTTAAGAATATAAGGGTCAATGCCTCATTGGCTCAAATGCATGATTAGATCTCAGACTAAGCTTGGCTTACATTCGCAAAGGAGTAACCAATAGACCTTTTCGTAGCAATATAGCAAGAGTTGTTGAATTTTTGTTTCATGGTTATTTCCTATTCCCTAGTTCACAAGGGTCCTTTCTGGTGGCATTCTAGTACATCACAATTATGTCAATTTTAGAGTTGAGCTCTCATGTGTATGTCAGTATGATGCATGGAAAACAGAGCTTTAAGGTTAATGTGAGTCCATTTAGACCCTTTCTCATGCCATTAGACCTGATAATAGTAGAGAGAAAAGGCTGTATCAATGCAATACATATGCTTGTTGATTATCTTAGCTTTCCTCTTGATGCTTCAGTAGTTTGGAAAGTTCTGTGAAATTGCTACACTGATCAAAGAAGAACAAGTATTTTGATGAAAAGAGGAACCATGGCATACTTCAACAAATGTTTAAAAAGCTTGAGAGCTGTATAAAATATCAATGTCAGGTTTCTAGGAACAAAAGATGAAACTCTCAGATTTCTGAAGTCTCAGCTTTTCTTGCATACATTTCTAATATCAGGTTTCTAAGTTCTCTGACATGCACATGGACAAAAAATTTGAATTGTTAGATTAGTTTAACCAGGCTAGTAGTTGACTAACCAGCAGAAACAAAGAGAGATCCAAACCAGCAGTGAATAGTTTTGTCCTTCTATATGCTGAACATGAAATATGTAGTTTCTTCTGCACCTTCTTACTTGTGGGTGAAGAAGCAACCATGACCAGTAATAATGGTGCATCTGCTCACCTGCTTTAAGTCAGATGTCAAAGCTAATACATGAAGTCCATAAAGACATGATAAATTTGAGTAGGGGGAAGAAAGGAAGATGGTTGGTTGCTTGTTGACTTTTGCTATGTTTGTTGCCTTAAGTAGGTAAGAACAGATGGAAAAGGCAAAGCACTAGCTATATTGACTGAAACATCAGAAAGTTTTTGCTGCTAATCCTCAATTCAGGGACAATTTGGCACACAAGTTGACCATCATTTATTTGTCTGCTGTTTAAGCCTAGATATACAATCATCATACTCTGGCTACCAATATGAATAGTTTGTGCTTGTTTCCAGTTCAAGCATTTATCACTTGAACCAAAATCAAAATCTTCACCATGAATGATAGATGTGATTTAAGGAGACAGCAAATTCCAAGATCAACTTATTCACTAAGAAATTCAGATCAATTGCAAGGTGATTGATATCTCATTATTCTTATCAGAAATATAGAAAAGGAAAACAAAGGACTGACACTTGTCTTAACAATATTACTGTTCTCTTGCCATGATTCATCATGTTTCACTTCTGAGCTCTGACATAATTGATCATCCATCATAGCTGATGTGACTCTGTACTTGCAGCTCTATCATGTACATCACTGATTAGCTTCATAATCTATGACTTGAAAGTTTGGAGATCACATTGCTTCCTTGTAGGTGAATCATAACAACATCTCTGATGGTTTTTGTGTTTTACAGAACATGAACAAATAAGCAAGAGATCATCACATCTTTACAAGGTGGAAGACAGTGGAACAAGTGGAGGTGGATCTGAGGGTTAAAACACTCATGCAAACATGAAGCTATCAACCTTCCACATCCACCTTTGCAGCCACTACTTACTTGCACCAAGTCGGTCAAATGGCTCCATTTATACCACTCTCCACTCCCACCTCTTTAAGAGCTAAAGGAGCCTGAGAACAGGAACCAACATCTCTCTCTCTCTCTCTCTCTCTCTCTCT